GGGTTCAACAACGTCTATGCATTTTCTTCTGACTTGGATTCGGGACTTACACCAAATGAGGTTTATACCTACAGAATATGCAGACGACTGCAACTCTGCTCGCGAACGCACGTCTCATCCTGGGAAGCGGACTTGTCGTCCTTCCCGCGCACTACTGTGTATCTCCTCATTGCTGTGGGGGTTTGGACAGCTTCTTCATGTACTCCGTATGGATTACGGATACTTTGTCTGGGGGCACAGTATCCGCATGGTGGCATTGCGCACGATAGCAATCAGCAACGCAGCTGACGAACCCTGGTCCCCATGTCGTCCAGACCCTGCAGACATCTTAAAATTCTGGATGCCAAAGATGGCAGATTCAACAGGGATTAGTGTGTGATACTGATGTTGGCTTGAGCACTTGCATGACCCAGCTGCAAGGCGGCTAAGCATCTCTAAAACATGACCAATCAACGTGTTTATCTAACGTTGAGGAGGGAGGGGTGCGTTTCAGTGCTCTCGAAGAGCACCCCAGTCCTCCAGCCCTTCCTTTCTAGCTTGTACCGAGATACTCCGTACATCAACAGCCCTAACAGAGTCCTCCTGGAGAAGGAATAACAGACTGCCAGTATGCAACTTGGGCCTCAGGCTATGAGACTCTGTCCTTCCAAGAGATCAGAGCTCCAAGGCTCGAAAGCTCCTCTCTTGCAAGGAAGGGTACTACGGTATCAGGCCAAAGTTTAACCCCCTTGTCAGGTATCTTCGCCCGTGCTTTTCGAGATTACATCAGCAGCATTACTTTCGAGATTCTTGTGCACGTCGAACACAAATTTGGCCATTGAGAGTCACTGCTCTACCCTGGCCAGACCCACGCTACCTGGTAGGGAGTTTAAACTTACCCCTATAGACCAAGTAGGTAGCTGCTCGCTGAGGGCATCTCCACTCCCCTCCAGCCTGGCTTGTTGGATTTCGGCTCCATTCACGGCGAAAGACGGGTCCGCGGCTGACGCCTCGTTCCGTCACGGAACTACTACCAAGCGTACCACAGAGACGAAAGACACAGACTTGAACGAATCCGTGCCTTTGCACCAGACATTTCGGCGATTGAGAAGAGACAACGTCAAGAATCCAAGCCTTGTTCAGAGCTGTTGGCATCAATTGCTACGTACTTGTCACAGACCAAGCGTGCTCAACTTCTATCTTCAACAGCGTCACCTTTTTTGCAATGAGGTGCCATAACTACGTTGCGGTCGCAGAGTGGACAACGGTAGCCACACATGCATTGGCGCACTTCCCAAGTGTCCCACTCACACAGCAAACTACTCTGTACGGATACATGTTCGAACTTGCTGCGATCTAGTTGAGATACCGTACCTCCACATCGCTTGCCTACATAGTACATGCGAACCACTTGCCGCTTTTGAAGCTAGTTCACTGGTGTCAGTGATCTGGCGGAAGAGTCTACCTTCTCCGAGCCACATTAGCCTACCCGTCAACTCTCTTTCCCTCTCTGTCTGCAAGGTACTGGGTACGTATCGGTCGGTCACAATAAAGGTCTCTGCACCACGACTTGCTTCACTTTCTCTAGCCTTTCCATGGTGCCCAGGGACAATGCTTTCGATGTGCTATCTTTCGCCAAGGGATGCAATAGTTGATCGAATAAAATCGCACCGACTTCGTTGAGCCGGATCAACAGACTTTACTGGCACAGCGAACGTTCCATCGCCCACGACACATTCCGGTCTCGGGAATTGGTCATGCTCCTAGTAATATGCCCATCATTCGAGACTGCACAGCACACAACATCTTGCACAGAATCGTGTTGAAACTATGATGGATATGGCCGGAGGGTCTCCCAGGAGTTTCTTGACGTCTATGCGCACTCTTCGCGAATATCCATCACCAAAGACACCATTGGACACTTGTGTCAAGTTGCTAACATACCATAACTTACATACGGACGTATCGTACAGGATAAATTAGGGGGGCCATGTAGCCTGTACTCCCTGGATGTTTTTTTGGTTCACCGACCGGGGCCAACAGCAATTTGGCTTATCAGTTCAGCGCCATCATCGCTTCTTTGGCCGATATGGGAGAGAGAGGCAGACGGAGAGAGAGAGTCCCAGCAATTCGAGTTTGGGCGAATCATAGCAATCCACGTCGACGGCAGCCACACCATCCATCTACAACGCACTTGGGCCTGCGTCTACGCCTACGCCCACAACCACGCCGCAACTCCAAAGTACCTGTCCCGGGACTCTTGTCCTGATCTGGAAACGCGTTCAGCAATTGAATTCGCAATCTGCTCAGAGACGTAGACAAACCTAGCCAGCCAGCTCAACCGACCGCAAGTCAACGTCGAATGTCCAGGCTCTCTTCCTATTCGACTGCAAATACATTGTTTAGCTTTAGTCAAGATTTTGCAGCTTCGCCCCCATGTATATGGATAGCCGATTTGGCTCTACTATATAACAAGAGGCACCGCCTTTGATCGCAGGCAAACTATCCCTGGCGACGTGGAGGCTGCCGGCAGCAGATTCCTTGAGGATAGAAGTCCTTATGCAAATCATATTGCCAGGAATATTGTCCTCTGCTACTCTCATTCATCAATAAGCATGCATGAGCGGACCGTTTTCCGCCTTACATGAGAAGCACGAGGAGTTGCTCCCGCAGCTGCGAGGAGGGGCCAGGTCAGACGGCGTAGCGTTAGATGAGGTCTGACAGTACCCGTACCGTTCCAATGGGTAGTTCCACGTCGCCGACGATGCTGGTCCAATGGGAACATGGCCGGGGCTGAGGGCTGGAACATACGGTCTGCGCGACATGACATGGGATTGATGCCAGCGATGGTCAGCGATGGTGCCTTTTCAACGACCTGAACGGGCAAATGCTCTCCGCTGTCTGACTGGACCGGAACGCACTGAGTCGAATTGACGTTGTCTTTGTCCGTGCAGCTCTTGTCGTAGAGATGGCATTTTGTAATCAAACACGAGCATCGCACGAGAGTCCAGGCAATAGCAGTTATGACAGCAACCCTCACTTCAGTACAGAGATCCAAAATCAGACTCGGATTACCATGCTAGCACCGGCAAGCACAAACTGGCGCAAGCACAAGTCATGTCTCTACAACTTGAATCAAGACCAAGTGCCGATTGACTCTCATCCCGCTCTCTGCGACTGTTATATCCCCGACACTATGCGTGCCCATCCAGCCAACGTTCAATCACCGAGACAAGTCTGTGTTCGTAACAGGCGACGGACTGTGAGTGTCGGTTGGAGGTACAAGTTGACGTCTTCTCTCGACACTGTGGCGTTGAGGCGGCTCGGTCGAGGTTGGCGGAGGTGACAATGGCTTCACTGATTGGGTTTAGCATCCTCTTCACCGCTACTCTTGTGGCCTCTTTACGGCGACGCCCTCTCCCCGCTCCCCGTCCACGCTTGCTCTGGGGCCTCTGGCTGCTTTTCTTGCCAGGATCTGGGGCATGGTGATAGAGGCACACTCAGCCGGGGGGAGAAGAGGGAGAGTGACTGAGTCTCTCTCTGAGAGTGAGAGAGAGAGTGTAACCAGGAAGAAAAGAGGAGAGAGACCCAGGCCTGGACCCCCCGGCCCACTAACCTATCATCGCTTGCCTCTCCGCTGCGGTCGAGCCAATAGCCCTATACCCGAAAGAGCTGGCTTGCTGACCCCCCACTGGAGCCACGCTGCGCTGGCAGGGCTACCTTGCCCAGTGTCTTTCCCGCCGCCTGCTGGACGTTGAGGTTTTATGCGCATACCGGTGGTTTTTCACGTGGAGGCAAGTGGCACGATGCAATGGCGAAGAAGACGAAGGAGGAGGAGGAGGAGGAGGGGGAGTGTGCTTGTACCTGTACATGCGCCCAAGATGGCCCACGGCTGTTCCCCTCACTCTGGGCTACTGGCTGCTCTTGAGTCTTGTTTCCATCTCCACCCCCCTCCTCCTTCTCCTTCTCCCCAGTCTTTTGAGTCTTGAGTCTCCAGTGCGTTTTTCTCTCTGCTCACTTTTGCTTCGGTACTCTTCACCCCTACACTACCTACACGACTTCGTACCTCCATCGCCAGTCAGTCTTCCGATGGGGCCCTCGTTCGTCAGTTTGAACAATCCAAGCCCTCCTCGCAAAAACATCCTGGCAAATCGCGCATCCGCACACCCATGACGAGATCCCGACTGCGCTTCTCGCCGTCTCTCGACGATGGGTGGGACTAATGGCCAACACCAACACCAACACCAACACCACGAGACGTGGGGCGAGCGGACGACAGCGGATTCGATTCCAGCCACGGTCTTTTCTCTCTGGCGTTCGATCTCTTGTCACGACACGACGGGATATCATTTTTCGTCTCGTCTCGTGTCTTCTTCCGCCCCTTGTTGCGTTACATAGAGTTACCTCCATCGGATCATAGGCCCATCGGTCATCAGTCACTCAGCTCAGCTCAGTCGTCGTGTTGCTGTTATTTTCTGACGAAAGCCGCCATTGCCTGCTCCTTTCACCATCCAGGCTCGGCTTGGAGAATGAGAAATTTGAGACATTTTGACGAAGGAACATCCACATACGGCGAACAGCCCGCTGTTTATGAAGAGCCCCGCATTCTTAACATCTGGACCGTTGAACTTGTCTCGATGATGCTTGGTATGTTGATACCGTTGAAACTTGAGAGGAGGCTCTTTTGACGAGTCCGAGATGGGCCATCAACACTGCGTCTAACTGATGCGAGCCTTGCTTGATGTCGCCCACCCGCAGCGGAGTCCGGTAAGACCACGCGTCTGACCCTGTCCATGATATGCTGGGTAGTTGTGCACCTGGAAAGCATGGGCGGACAGGTATGTACATCACCAGCATCCCCCCCCCCTCAAAAAGATCCACGATCCGACGACAGAGGTTGAGCACGGCTGTTGTAGGCTGTAGCCTGTCCGTCTGTACTCTCACGATCGGCTATGGCTGGACTTGACGGGACCTTTCCTGGCCCAGGATCATGTCCCGGGTGCTTTTGGCCCCTCCCTCCATCAGACATAGAGGAGCAGCAGTGCCTCACCCCGCCGCCCGCCTTCCGTCCTGTGCATATGTCGGGATAGCTGCGCGCTTCCCGTAGCCTCGCATCTGTGTCGTGGGAGGATCTGATGGGAAATCGACATGTCTTACATTAGTGTCCACGACAGCAGCAGCAGCTCGCGGGAGCCCTGCCCTAGCCTGACCTGCGCTGCTGCGTTGTGCAAAGAGCTGAGCTGGGCGCGTTCATGATACAGTTTGCTTGTTTGCTTGGCACCCATCGTTTGTCCTCCCGTCTTCATAAATCGGCGCACCGGGGAACGGAGGCATTTCCAACGACGGCTCCTGTACGGAGAAAACAGCGTGCATCAGGTTATGTGTGCAACGGTCGTACAAACCTACTAGTTGAAGAGGCAAGGACTACATCTACATCATTCCACCAGCACACTTGAGACAGGCCGAAGCCGGTATCTGCATCGACACACATCCAGATCTACACTGTAGGTGTCTAGATGAAGGACGGCGGCCCATCTTGGATGCTGTCGGGAATATCTCCCTCTCACCCGCGACCCGCGACCCCCGGGACACGCATACACATACAGATACACATATCCGTCCATACTACTCTGTACACACACTTCTTCGCATCTCCTTCCGATCTCTCCTCCCGGTCAAGCCCAAACCCACTCGATCAAGCAAGCGTCCGGCGCCGCCGCAGCAGCAGCAGCAGCAGCCGATTGCTCCTCGTCGCGGGTGGATTGACGGCGATAAAAGTCCGGGCTCTGTGCGGTTGCCAAAACTGGCCGCCAGGTGCGCACATCCTTTCCTTGAACTTCCTCAACCTTGCCATTGCTTGTACCCCCAATAGGTTGGCGTGAGATTTTTCTCTCGTTCGGCCGCTAATACTCTGTACATACTGGATACACAGACAAAAAGTGACGAAGGAGGAGGAGAAGGGAGCGGGCGGCGATGGGCGGAAGACCTCGCCTGTCAAGCCCGCGTTACATTCGCAACCCCCCCCCCCCCATTTCCACTTTATTTCTGCTCCCCCTCCCTTTTTTCTCACGCCCTCGCTCAAATTTCCTGCCCCCAACATCTGGGAAATCTTGCCCGTTTGCCTGCCTTGCCTGCCTGGCTTACCTAGCACCTTGGTGTCATACCATGTGCGGCTAGAAGAGAGGGCTGGGGACTGGGGGGGAGGAGTGGTTGTGGATGGGACCCGCGTCCCCCCCCCCCCTTGCGCGCGTGCGTGGGAGCAGCAGCGCCAGCGTCCGTGGGCAAAGATGCGCCGTCGCCGCCGCCGCGTCTCGGGTGGTAACATGTCAGATTTACAAGCGCTAGGTATCCCGTAGCTTGTTGCTTGCAAGAGGAAGTACACTCTACACTACATGGCGGGTGGGGGAAGGGAGGGGGTGAAGAGAGGAAAACGGGAACAAGAAGGAAAGAAACAGAAAAATCACAAGAGATTACCGTACGTGCAGGGAGATGCCGCAGTATGACAGAATAGCGCGTCTGCAATCCTCGCCGAAGCGGAGAGAGTATGTAAACTAGGAAAAAAGTTCTGGAGTTCTCCCGTCTTGGGGCCTCTGGGAGCTAGTCTACGGATAGTCTAGTTTCTAGACAAGAGCTGAACTTCTGAAGAGGCTGTAAAAACAAGCACAGAGATGTCCAAAAGTTGAAGGCGGCGTTGTCACTTGTTGATGAAGCCTTTTTTGCCACCACCATCACCTACCTACCTACCTTGGTCCTTGCGATACGAACGATGCAACCGTATTCTCGACTATCCATCGACTCCTCCAGGCTCCTGCTAGGAAAAAAGGTCTCAGAGTCGTTGAGCAAGCAGGTGGCCGGAAGGAAGAAACATGGGCATTGCATACGGGAAAAGAAAGGAGAAAGGGCAACGTACTGTGTAGACGCGCCCCCCGGATTTAGACTGATCACAACAGCGGCGGCAGCAAAAGTTTCGTGTGTGGCATACGGATACTGACACGACTGGCAAGAAAGACTGGGTGGTGGTTTCCAGCCCATCTGCCCTCCGGATGCAAGTATGCTTCGCATAACGTGTGTCCCGTCGCCTGCTGTTGGCTCCGTTGGTGGCAATCCAGCAGCAGCAGCAGCAGCAGCAGCAGCATGTATCTATCTATCTGTAAGGCAAGGCAATGCAACGGCCCTTGCCTTGGAATACCACGTACGGAGACAGTGACAGACAGCGAGGAAGACAGACAGAGGACGACGTTGCGAAATGTCTCTTTTTTTTTTTCTGCCCTTTCTTCCACATGTCCAAGTCTCTCTCTCTCTTGTCTCGTCTTCAACGTCGTCCCGTCCATTGTTGAGGAACAATCCCCTTGTTGCATAACTTTTTCGGCTTTGTTTCTCGAACTTCTTGTTCTTCCCTCCCTTTCCTCCGTGCCGCCTCCCCCCCCCCCCCGGCCATTTCTCCCTGCCCTTTGCCCGCCTCTGGTTTCCTTGTCCACAAAGATTGACTTTGTTCCAACAGAGATTTTTCTGCCCATCGGGGACCACATGGAACGGCTATACTCTACCGTTTTGGGTCATTCGATCGGCTCGCCGCTCTCGAGAAAGAAAGAAAAAAAAAACTAAACTCAACTAAAAACACAATGATAACCTCGGCGTAGTTAGACTTCTGACAGCCGCCCTCCTTCCCTTGTTTGCGTTGTGTGCCGCGCACGTCTTTTTGGGAGTGAGAGAGACGGGAGGGTCCCCCCGGTACCCGAGTACGTATCCGTAGACCGTAGAGAAGCGGTAGACGGGCGCCAGTCTAAGACCAAGCAAGCCTCTTCCCAGCCATCCATCCACTCTGGCACCTCACTCTCCGCCATCAGTGCGTCTTTTTTGTGCCTTTCTCTCTCTCTCTCTCCGTGTGTGTCGCCGTCTATCTCTTTGCCGGGACGGGAGGGTGTGAGGTATAATGTTCTGGCGCGCGCCGTCCTTCCCTCTCCCCTACCACTCAACCTCTCTCTATCTTGATTTAGCTCCCGAGACGAGACACACAACCTTTCTGTCTGGGACACGACCGGTGTGAGCCAGGAAGGTGGCAGAATCATACAATAACAATGACAGCACCAAATCCAATTATTGGTGATGTCGGGATCGGTTCTAGCCGGCCTCTTTTTTTTTTCTTTGAGGATACCCACTTTCTCGTCGAGATTCGGGAAGAGGAGAGAGGAGACAATCCTTCCCCCGCTCGCTCGTCGCGTCCGCTTGTCACGACCCGGGTCGGCCGCGCGAGGCGAAGCGAAGGCGGATAGGATTTGCCAGGTAGATGTAAACAGACCAGTCTCGACTTGGCCAGGCCAGGAAGGTAGGTAGGTCTTCCGAAGGTCTTGATTTGCAGGGCAAGCAAGGCAAGGCAAGGCAAGGTAGAGCAAGCAAAACACCACAGCAGGCTCTCCCTCACCCTCACCCTCCCCCCTCCCACCCCCGGAAAGCGAAAGGGTACGATTGCCTGCATGCGCGTACGGGTATGCATGCTGCTCAGACATGGGGTGGCGGCGGCGAGATCACGGATCACAGAGGAGCCCTGGAAACTTTCGCTCGCTCTTCCAAGCGGCCTAGAAGTGCACTACGGACTACGGATTCTGTATCCGTACGGAGTGTTGCGAACCTCGTCCTCGCTCACGGAGGATGCCCCCTCAGAAAACAGAGCAGGTGTCGTGAAATGGCTCTTGCGCACCTGGGCCGCAGCAAGCAGGCGCATGCTGGGCAGATCATGTAACTGTCAGGGACGGGGTCAAGCGAGCGTGACGTGGACCTTTGACCTTTTTGCGCGCTCGAGCTGATGTCCTCTGTGCCTCTCTCTCTCGCCAGACTTCGTGTGTCCTTGCCGTCCACTTGTGAGTGGCGCCGTCATGTTGGACCTTGGACACCGGATGAATCGTCAAGTCGGGATAGAACTTGAACGCTTGAAACGATTCGCCCCCTCCTTCACGACCCCTGTGCTCGTCCCTGACGTCCCTGATTGATATCACATGAGAGACGGGCTGGAAAAGGGAGCTTGGGGCTCGGCGGTGCGAGATTGACTTTTTTTATTACCTCGCTACGCAGACTGTCTTGCTTCCTCGTGGGTACCCCGGCACCAGTGGCCTCCCTGCAATGGTTGGTATGACCAGGCTGTCTCGTCTCGTTGTGTCGTGACTTGTCTTGTCTTGCCTTTATTCCGACATGACGAGGTCAACCGTTGAAGTAGTCGGTTGCCCGAGGTATGATTACGTATTAGAAAGAGAGCGGTGCATCATTGCGCATCGAAGCGTTGAAGAATGCAGCACGTATAGCGTGCGCAGAATATGCAAGCAAGCCTCGGCATCCGTCTTTGCGACTCCAGCTTTCTTTTCCCGGGGGACTTTTGCGACTTGTCGTCGTCGTCTTGTCATTTCTGATAGTTTTCACTAAATGGCATGTTGGTGGTTTGATGCAGGAGAGACGGCAGGCCAGGCCAGGCCGCCATGGCAGGGCCCGGCGCATCGCATCGATGCTCCCTCACCTCGCTCCAGCCCTGTCCCGCCCGCCCAAGGCTAGCCGCGAAACACGGCGGCGGGAAGAGAGGAGGCTCGGAAAGTAGGTTGTGAGGTAAGGTAGTGGTATCCGCAGTGCTGTGCGCAGCGGTGCAGCGGGCATCGTGCATGAACTGCTGGTACGGCATGATAAGATGGGTGTGTTATACATGTGACGGAGCACCGCCTGGCTTCTCTTTTCTTCGCCTTTCCAAGGGTTGACCTGGACAACATCGGGAGAGGGCGAGGAGAGAGAAGGTTAGCGGGCCTGGAAGCTGCATTCTCTTGGTGTCGATTGGCAAATGCAGGCGCATGTGCGTGCAGTGGCCTCATGGGAGAGGCATATATGGCAGACATGGGAGTCCCCGAAGCTGGAGAGTGTGCCATGCCAGGTCCGGGGCGCATGAGACGGCCCTTTCGTTTGGTGTTTCCCGCCTCCCGCCGCGCGGCAGGTTTGGCGATGCAAGTCAATTCGAGACCCGAAGCTAGGTGCACCTTTCTTCGAGGGAGCTTGGATAACAAGCTTTTCTCTCTCGCCTTCTCGTTTCTTGTCACCTCTCTGGCTCCTCCGCCGTATGTGGGAGTATGGGGGGAGCTACGGCGCGAATATGAAGCAGCTAACATCGGCTGTGCAAGCTTTCTCTCCCTTTTAAGGTGCAACCTTCGACCGATGACTGGGCGTGATGTGCATGACTGGCGTCTGTGGGGGATGCGCTGCCACTGCGATCAATGTCCTAGGCCGATTGGATGGCTTTAATCTTCGCTGCACCAAGGGCCCCCGGTGATATGGTTTGGCGATCCAAAGGGTCGAAGTCTGATCTCGTCTTCTTTGGGCGTATGTACCCAATACGTATGTGGAATCTTCAATATCATTTCCACAATAAGATAGAAATAGCCTTCTGTTGAACCGGATATTGAAGGGGGTGTGAAGTGAGCGGCATCCGAGTCAGAGACTTCGTCGACGAGTAGATAACGGCGACATCATATTCGTAGTTGTACGCAAGGACAAAAGGGTCCAAAACTGATTTTCGCACTCGCATCTGCCGAGCCCAGACTCCAATATGGTCCCCTGACTGAGCGTTCCGAAAGCCGTCAGACAGAGGCGCCGAGGAGTGATTGGGCCTCTGCAGCCCATCATTCCAACATCGTGCAAGGTATGACCTTCTTCACAGCCTCCTTTCCACTCAGACCGTCCCGATTTCAGCTCCGTGGGCTCGTGGGTAACCTCGTGGGCGAAGGAAACATGTCGCTTGTTTTGGGGGAGGGTGAAGAGCAAAGAGGGTGTGTCCAGGTGTGTCTGATCCGGTGTTTAGGCCTGATGTCGGTACCTGCAGGAGATGGGGAGGTTGAAGGTGAGGTGAAAGGTCCCCTGAGGTTCGAAGCGTTCGGTCTTTCTTGCAACAAGAAGGTTCCAAGGGGACTCTGACGTGCACATGCATTCTTTCTGGGATTTGAGGAATGACGGGATTCAAGCTGGGGAAACATCGGTGCGCCGACGCTGCTGCAGCTCCTGCATTTGCCAGTATGGCAGGCGGAGCAGCTGGCATTGACATCTCTCGGTCCAGGAACGGCACCTGAGTTAGCTTCGCCTTACTCGGGAAGCTTTGACTGCATGTCTCTGTCTCTACACCTTCCCGTCATGTAGCTTCGAT